GTATTTTTTTGTGTGAAAAATATCGCCAATCTCTTGTGGTACCGCAACAGACATAGTAGGTCCGTTGCGGTCTGTTAATCCACGCCGTGTAAAAAAATCGGATGGCGCTGAGCTTCTGGGTGAAAGCACTAGTCATCTTTGCTTATAAGCGTTACGTAGTGGCTTATATATATATATATATATATGGGTGTGGTTTCTATAAGGTTTCAACCTTAAACAATCCAATTAAGGTGCACCTCCAAATTTTATCATAACTTATAATTTCGGTGTAAAAAATTCTAAGGATTATTTGAAAATCTATTTTTATTTCTAATTATAAAATTTTAAACTCCAAAAATGGTTAAAATCAAATAGATCTATAAACATATGAAAATCTTGAAAATTGACGGTCTAGATAATGTGTTGTAAGATGCACTATTTCTGGGACTCAAATTTTTTTTTTTTTCATATTCATACATCTCGATGTCGAGATGATCAATTAGAGGGTTTTCAACATTAAAACAACATTTTCCAACGGATTTTTGAGGTGCATATTTTAAGGTTGCAACCGTATATAAATTTTTTTCTATATAATAATAATAATAATAATAATAATAATAATAATAGACCTAGACCTATACATATACTTTTCCATTTTATTTTATTTTTATGATATTTTCGAGCTGAGATTTTGGGGAAAGGTATGTTGAATCTAGGTCAATAATAATAATAAAAAGACCAAAATAGCCCTCCCCAATCGGTGAACGGATAGGTCAATTTGGCCTATTTCGCCTAGCATAGGCTAGCCGGTCCACAGAATCTCTCTCGCTCTCTCGCACACATTTGCCTTTCACTCAGTAAATTCTTTTTAATGAATGTATTGGGCCTCCTAAACGGGGCCTGAGCTTTCACAGGCAACAGGGTCCTGGCCCTCCATTTGATTCATGGTGTGTCCACTTGATTCATGGTTTGTTCAGTTGGACATGTGCCCTATTGACAATGTGGTTTGAGTATTGTTGGCTAGGAGGATAGCAAAGTATTATTGACTAGAAGGGTATTTTTTAATTTTGGGGGTTGTATGATACGACACCATTCATTTTTTTGTACAAAAAAGTGTTAAATTTTTTTTTTGGATGTGAAATCTAATATATTAAAATATATCACAGCTTTCAAGAAAATTTATTTTTGACTTTGTACTCAAGTAATGATACATCACCACCCATGTGATTTTACATCCAATGATTGATAATATTATGACATTTTTATATCAAAAGTAAATAGTATCACCATATATATTTCTTTTAATTTTTTAAAATTTGCAAAATAAAGAATCTCCTAACAAAGGAAGTGGTCGAAGCCACCAAGGCAAACTGAAGTTCAATATATGCATCATTGTTGGTTTTTAATGAGGATTAGATTTATGGGCCAAGGCCTAATAATATTTATGAAGTGGGTGGGATCTTGAAGCTCCAACTAAACAAGAAGGTTCTTGGTGACTATACTTGAGATTTAATTTACAAGACCAGCAACGTAGAACATGTGAACTTATTTCATTTTCTCCTGTGCTCTCAATAATTTATGCAAAATGTATCAAACTACACAATACGCAATTGAACCATTCAACATCTTACCCATAACTTTGATCTAATTTCAGATAGCCTATCATTCTTTTGATCAAACTTCAAAAAAGCCCAAATGAAGTTTTTTAATTTCTCAAATTAAACCTAGGGAAAGTGTTAAATAGATTCAACTCTTACGTTTATTTTGATAAATTTCCCGTTATTTATGTTGAAAATATTCCCTAATATGAAAGGAAGCGGTGAGCACAAGTCTGTAGCTTTACTTTAAAAAGAAAGGAACAACTCAAAACCTCATCAGAAAAAGCAATTCAAGAGATGAAACCACTGTGATGGCCTTGAAATGTACACCCCCTGCTGCCCCCACCCCACAAAAAATAAACAGAAAAGAAAAAAAGAGTAAAAAAGAAAGAAGATAATGACACTTGAAGCTGTAAATACTTTAATGGGGGTGATGCAATATTTTCAAGGCTTGAAATCTTTTTAAATCCCTAATTTTCAAGGTTGAGATCATCAATTGCATGGTTGCCAAGCACTAGAAGTTTTTTAATTGAGATTGGAGCTGTGGCTTTAAAAGGTCATGGCTCACGGCGATTCGCTAACCTTTTCCAATGTCAAAGGGCACTGTAGTTTTTTGCCTACATAAATAATATCTAACAGGTGCAGAAGTAGGAGAGTTTTAATAAATAAAAACAAACCCACCTTCAACGAGTTAAACTGCCCAAATTTAACTGATGTTTCCACTTGATTTGTTACAAAGAAACAGTAGCACGCTTGGCGATTCTTGTTACTATGCTCCAATGGCATGACTTAATTGCTGTAAATCATCTCGGTCAAATGTACGACTTGAATGAGTGGTTCTGATGATCCAAATCTTACTAGTGACATCCGATTGCTGAGAACGCCACACGAATCGACTCTTGTGAAAGACCACATTCAACAGTAAGTTTTTCATGAAAAGCAGAACCAGCTTCTCCCCATTTAAGCACCAAAGTTAGCTGCTTATCCATCCTTGGTTCCCTTTTTGTTCTGTGTTCATTACCATCACCTATGTTACCTGTTCACCTCCCCACCAACATCATCATCCTCACCACCTCCATCGCAAATCAGTTTGGTCATCATAGCCATGATCATGAAGATAACTATGTTGAAGATCCAAAATCACCACCACAATCATCATTATGATCACTAATTATGCTAGTTTTCTTTACGAACCCAAATATTCACACCCCAAATCATAATTGCAGTCACGATAATGGCGACAACGATGAACAAACCACAATCAATCTTTATCATGGTCATCATCATAATTGTTACAATGCGAACCGGCATAAGCCTCACACCGCAATCTCTTCGAGCCTCCGAATAATTTGCTTAATTTGTGGCCTCAAATATGGGGAAGGAGCACAACAGCTCATAGCCAACTGAAAGAATGCAAGCAATCCTTCTTCTCTTTTGGGATTCAAATCAGCAACTTTTCCTATCAAACCAGAGTCGAATATCTCCGAGACCCTCCTGTCTAGAATAGCGTTTTTCATGGTGGTAGGAAGATCAGAATAACCTCTATCCGATAACATGGGTTCTTTTCCAGTGAGAATTTCCAGAAGGATTATACCAAAACAATATATATCACTTTCTGTGGAAGCATCCTTCATCTTTATGAGCTCAGGGGCTTTGTAGCCTTGAGAAGTGAGAGATTCAAGGGCTTCCTGGTTTGCAGCTGGATTTAGGAGGAGATGGAGGCCATAGTCAGAGAGATAAGGCTTGTAATTCCAGTCAAGTAATATGTTTTTTGACTTGAGATTGCCATGGACAAGCGGCTTGTAAAAACCAGTGTGGAGATGGTCAAGTCCCTTGGCTATACCGATTGATATTTCACGGAGCTTTTCCCATGTTTTGAGTCCTTTGTTCCCACCTGCTTAAAAATTCCAGTTGTTACGTTAAACACAATGAAGAACTGATGTCTATGATTGGCCAACAATTTACGATCAACAATACCTCTCTCTCTCTCT